TGTTGAGAGAGAGAGATTGAATGTAAATTATTTTCGACATAGTTTTTTTGGATAATGTTTTTATATTTAAAAAAGAAAATAATAAATAAAAATATATACGCAATTTTTAATTTGTACTTTATAATTGAAGTACATATAAATTTCATCAATTATTTTAATTCTCGATATTTTTTGAATATCTATAAATAATTAATATAATATACTGTCTTAGGCATTTTGTTTATTACTTTTCCTCCTCCTGCATTTAATACAAACTGGTGAATTGAGGTAATCAAACCGAAATTATGCAGACGAATTTTGGTGGTATCTATATATATATATAATAAGAATTAACATTTTTCAAAAATAGTAAGCAAAAAAATAGGAAACATTAATAGCATTCTATTTTTGGTATGTTTTTTTAATTTTTTTTAATAAAAAATCAAGTAGCTAGCATAAATCATGGGATTTGTTATATAGATGCATATTTAAATTTCAAACTTCAAACAAAACATGCCTAAATGTATTATGAATTTTTTAGGGGAAAAATTTAACAAACATGTTGAAGATTTCATACAATATATATATTTATATATATTATCTCAACATAGAGGTTAATTAGTTTCATATCTAAATAATATATAAACAAATATAATAATTTATCGTACAATACAGAAAAATATATAAACAATATATTTATATACAAATATAATAACAATACATACTGTATATAAACAAATATAATAGCTTGTCACGCGTATATTTCGTACAATACATATATTTATATATATTTTCATAACATATAAGTTAATTAGTTTCATATTTAAATAATATATATTTTAGGAACTTAAAGATTCATAACATTACTGACGTCATTTATATTTAAAATATATTGTCACATACATTTTACTACAGTTGGTAACTTTTTTAAAATTATTTGAATAACTGGAGGTTGATTTGTAATTTAAATTTCAAATTCATTCAAACATTTAAAGGAAAATATCATAAGCAGATTTTTTTGATACATTTCATTTTATCTCAACTTACATATAATCATTTCCGAATGATTTGTTTCTCATAACATCGGACAGAATTACTAATTGCATAGAATTCAATTATGATTTCGAATTTATATCACGGATGTTTAATAATTGCATAGAATTTCAAAGATGTTTATTTATTATAAAAAAAAAATTCTAAAAAAATATTTGTGTATATTTTGTAAAATGTTTGTACAAAATGTTTTACTTTAAATTTATTTACATAATTTTAATTAATTACATTTATAAATAATATGAACATACATTAAATACTTTAATTATATAAAACAAAAAGAAGAAGAAGACTACATATATAACTTGCATAAATAATAATAATGAAATTATATTACAATAAGTTTTATAATAAAATAATATAAGTATTATACGAGGAACAAGATTATGTAAAATTTTTATTTTTCTTATATCAAGGAATATATATATATATAATGAAATCGCATTTATATTATTATAAACATGTGAGCGAGATAATATATTAATTAATTTACGGGTTTGCGCTACCAGACTCAGGTTTAATGTTTCGACAAAAAAAAAATGACGTTGATGAAAAGATGTAAAAAGATAAATATCAGACTCTATTATTTTTTAGGCCTAAACGGAGAAGCCCTATGGTCCACTCACTTCAATATCTCCCGTGAATGGCACGAGCTACTTAACGGACAAACTCTGTGGAAATGACTCATTTAATACTTATGTCTCGTGCATCGCACTGGCTACGTACTAGTAATAATAATAATAATAATAATAATAATAATAATAATAATAAAGCAGAAATTTAGAGGGGTATAAATGGGAATATATCGAAACGTAGTGGGCAAGCTAGATAATGGAGGGAGGGAGGGTACGCTCATCAGTCATACACCCAATGGCTAGTTGCCACGTGGAAAAGTTGTCGGGTTCTCATGTGGGGCCCTTGAAATAGCGTAGCATTACGTCTTTACTCGCTTGTGTTCTAGTCCTTCTACTCTTCTAGCAGGTGTATTGACAGAGAGCTTAAAATTTTAATGGAGACCATAATTTGTTTTATTGCTTTTATAATATTTTTTAAAATATGGGATACATGAACATGTGATAAAAACAACATTAAAACACAATGAAATAATAAAACTGATAAAATATTAATTAATTAGACTGGTAGGCTACCAGTGGTAGCTATTAATAATGATAAAATATTAATTGATAAGGGTTAGTAGGTATATATATATATATATATATATATATATATAATACTTTTTTACAAAAGTATATAATAAAAAATTAATATTTTATTTGTTGTTTAGTGTAGTAATCTATTACTATATAATACGGAGAAAAAAAATTATTTGAACAATCCAAAAAAAAATATTTTGTTTTCCCGCTTGAATATAGTGTTTTTCCCGCTTCTTCATTTTGCAAAAATTATTTGAATATTCGATCCCATGTAACCCGCCGTTTAATTATATAAAACAATCAGACAAATTTTTTCTAATGTTATGAGATTTGGCAAGATCTCATGCAATCCGCCCACAAATAGGAAAATGTCGTTCCAGATTCTTTTAGTTACACTATCTTAACTTCCATAAAAAAGATATTGCTAAAAAGATCTCCAATCTTCAATCTTCAATATCTTTTAACAAAACTGAACATTATTTAGATCTCCATTTTTTTCTCCTCTTCTCCGTATCCCCCTCTTTTTTTTTTCCTCTCTCTTCTTCTTCCCTTAATTCTTCTTCCTTCCCTTGCATTCTAAAATTACCAAATTCTTCATCTTCCTTCCTAATTTCTTCATCTCCTTCGTTTCTCTCCCTCGCGAACGCGCAACGCAAAAAACCCCCTATTTCTGAAAAGACGAGGTCGTGCGCCTGCCCGATATCGACAACTCTCGTTGGCAAACGGGGACGGCGGCATGATTGAGATAGACAGGCAACACCATAATTGACTGAAAAGCGGCCAGAGAGAGGATGAGGCCCGTGTCGGAGATCGACGGACGACTACCAGCGGCTGATAAAGGATCGTCGGCAGAGAGCAGTGCGGCTGCCGAGCGGCACTATAGGGTGGAACCATGTGGTTATAGAGTCGGTGAAACCACACAGCTCCAATGACTGTGATTCAAGTGATGGCGAATTGGAGTCGTGAGCGGCTGTCGGGAACTGTCGGCTTGGATGGGTGGATGGAGACAGAGCATCACAACGAATTGGAGTCGTGAAACCACACAGCTCCACATTTTTAGTTTTTGGGGTAATTTTTTATTACTGTATTTAGTGCCTTTTATTTCGTTTGAATAACAATAATTTTACTTTGTGGTGGGGCTGCTGAGGTTGGCGGTGCCGAACTGTGTCGGGATATGTTTGGAGTGGCGGTGGTATGATATTGTGACGGTGCTGGCGGGTTACCAGTCGGAGCCGAAGCTGGCGACGGAAGCCACCGGGATTATGCTACACACGACAAGCCTAATGTATATTATGCCGATGACCCTAGCTGGTTGTCTCTCTGCCCTAGTAAGTTTCTTGGCTTTCGGTTAGTTGTGTGTGCGGTTTTAGCTTAATTAGAATAATAAAAGCCAGTTAGTATTTTTTTTTATTATTATTTGTAAAATTAGTGATGATGGAATTTTTTAGCTATTCTTATGTGCTTTGGATATTATTGAACTGTGGACTGTGAAAGTTGATGTTCTATATTATAGTTCATGGCTATGTTTACATGCAAATTGCATCTATGTGGAAGTTGAATTACTGAGCAAGGCAATATATCTACCTTATGGACTTGGGTGCTTGTGTCTAGGCTCGAGTGAGTTTCTTGGTTTTCGGTTAGTTTAACATGAATGATTGTGGTGATTGGAGTTTTGGCTAATCTTGTGTGCATAGCATATTGTTCAACTGTGGACTATGAAAGTTGATATGGTTAGCCCTGCTGCATTTGTTTTATATTGGAGTTTATGTGTATGTTTTCATGCAAATTCCATCTACCATGGAAGTTGAACTACTCGAAAAATTGCAAAATATCTACCTGTTAGTTGCAATCTTTGGATGTTAGATTTGTACTAATCATGTCTAATTTTAGTGCAAAAAGCCTTGTGTCCCCTGTTATGTTGACCGGGTTTGTCGAGGGTTTGTTTATCTCATTATTACCTAATTTATCTCTTTAGTGCTTTCTACTTCCTTCTTTTTCTCGAGATGAGAACCTCTAATTGGAATGAATGCGATGATAAGGTAAAACTCATTTCCAACTTCTACGAGCCATAGCTAGATAAGTAGTATTGTAATATTCTTTAATTTATTTTAGAAACTTAATGTCTTAAGTTACTTCATATCTCGATGGTTGTTAAAAGGAATGGATGAACATGAGGATGAGATAATTTAGCTGTTATTTTGATTGACTCCGATTAGAGAAGTCACGAGAGGCCACAGAGGGGGTGGTGAGATAAGTTATTGTTTTCAAGTTATTGTAATATTGAGTGTTTGTGTTTCTTCTTGCCGTGATGATTGTGGTTGTCGATTGTGTAGTAGTTTGGAAAAATGTGAACGGCCGTATAATAATATTAGCAAAATGTTGAGGAAGGCCACGATGAGGGCCGAAGATCTCCTGGACGCGCGCATGGTGGCTTGATGGGAGCGTGAAGCACCACTGTCGGGGGACATGCTGCTGGAGGATGAGGTGGAGCTGGTGAACCAGGGGTTGTGGGGCGGCGATTTGGGAGATGACTGTGTTTTCCTGTACGGTTTTAAGCAAGTTAGCTTTATTTTCATTTGACACTAAACCTTTTATGAGTTTTTTAGGTTTTTTTCAATTTTTTTCTTCAATTGATGGTGTGTATATCGACTTAGGTTTATTATGGTGAATGTTTTTGGTTTAATTTTTTGTTTGCTTTTATTTTAGATTAATGGATCTTCTAATGAAAATTTATTATTCTCACTTTGTATATGGTGTAATTGACATAGATATAATTACCCCTCGCACGATTCCAACTAATCTTATTTCTCTTTCCATGAACCTTCGTTTTCATTCGCATTTGCACGACATATTTCACTATTCATTTCCCTTTTTGAAGTCCTCTCTTTCAATTCTTCATTCGTAGAGACAAAATATGAAATTTTCATTCAGTATTTCTCTTCTAAAATCCAAGATCCTCAGATCCCCAACAAGCCAGCAAAGCCAGAGAAGATCTTCCACAGCCGCATCGCTGCAAACAAGGCAGATCTTGGCCGCTTTCCCGGAGGCCTTCAATCAGAATCTGCCATCGGATCTCTCTAGGATTTGGTCGCCCCTTTGCACCGCCGCGCCGCACTGCCGCTGCTGCGTTCGACCCTAGGGATTCGGGTAACAGTATTGGCCGGTGGCGTGAAAGATCGGGCATGTCTGGGCTATTCGAGTGGCCGTTGGTTCCGATTGGGTTGCATAAAAGATATTTTGTTGCTTATTTATCAATTTTAAATAATTTAGTTTTCAATTTGTGGGTTTATTTGTAGTTTATTTTTGTGTATGAATATTGTATATTTGTTCTGAATATTTCAATGTCTATGGAGTATGGATTATATTCATATGTGTTTTTTTTTTTTTTTAATTTTTTAGTTTATTTTGTGGTTTTCTTGTTTTCTTATGTGTTCTCTGCATATGTTTTTGTGCTTTTATTTTCGATATTTTTCATAGTTATGGTATATGAATGGTTTTCATTTTGTTTATTTGTGGTTCCAGAAATTTTTCGCTCCATTATTTTATTGTAATCATGAAGGATTGCAGCAAAATTATTTCCATTCTGATGGATAGTTCGTCTTTTGGTGTAAGAATTTTATATATTTCGTCATTCTGTAATAAAAACTTGTGGCTCGTTAAAATGACGTTGCTGTAAGTTGTCTACGTATATACGTCTTTTAGCCATTGACATATGTGCCCAAACTTTGAATCAACTTTTGCATTTGGTTTGTAATTTTGTATTCTTCTCATTATATTTTATTAATTTAAAGAATTCATTTGCGACATATTTTATAAACCGTAGTCATATGAATGTTGTAATGATTTATATATGATTAATGTGTTATAATTTGAATAGTAAAATGGGTAACTAAGTTATACATGGAGATGAATACCAAAATTGTTGGGAAAAAACCTAAGTCCAGTTCTTCTTTAATGTTATATAATAGTTGTAAAAAGTTTATGAATGTAAATAGTGACTTTTAAGTATTTTTTATGATAAGAGAAATGGAAACTTTGATACCAATGATTTTTGTAAGTATCGCTTACGAGTAGAATTCATATTAGAGTTGAAAACAAGAAGAATAATTATCGAAATGTAATCAAGAAAAGAAATGATTGATGTAAATCCGTCAATGAGAAATAATTTTTTGCCTGTTAGTTTTGACAAAAAAATGCCTTACGTAGAATTCGTAATATATCTAG